TTGTTTTACTATCAGACGATTTCAGTTAATTACCATACGTCAAATAAAGACACCTACTGTCTAAGAAACTAAACTAGTCTGGTTTGAGGTATGTTAGGATCAACAAAGTATTTCTATTCGCCAGACATTAACATAAAGAGAAAGTCCCTTTTTATAGAGAATCAATTATTTTTTCAATAAATTTAGAAGTTTAATAATAATAATAAATTTTATTTGTAATGCACTTTGAGATTTAAGAATTTCAATTCAGTTTATTTATATAGCGCCAAATTCACAACACATGTCAACTCAAGGCACTTTACAGTTAAACCAGATCATCCAGTCAAATTGATTCAAAGTTTTCTATCTAAGGAAAACCAGTTGATTGCATCGACTCATTGATTAAAATACAATCCCTCACACTAAGCATGCTTGTAGCGACAGTGGAGAGGAAAAACTCCCTTTTAACAGTAGGAAACCTCCAGCAGAACCAGGCTCAGTGTAAGCGGCCATCTGCTGAGGCCGACTGGGGTTCAAGGAGACAGAAAAAATCTCAAAGTGCTACAGGCAAAATGATCATAGAAGGGTAAAATCAAAATTTAAAACTAAACGCTTTAAAACACTTATGAATAAGTTTGTATACCCTAGGTTTTCTTTCTGTAAAACATTGGAAAAACCAAACCTCTGGTAGGTCCTTTAGAACATTTGAGTTGACTGAGGCGCATTGTTGACTGTGTTGAAAGATAATACTTTGAATGCATTGTGCCAGGGCCAGGCATGAAAATGTGAGTGGGGGATGTGAAAGCATGTGTGCAAGCAGGTTCTCAACCCAAAGATTATGGCACCCACAACGAAATTTATTCATGAATAAAAAATACAACAATGATATAATTATGCTTTTGAGCTTGATTATTTTTAGCATTATCCTGCAAAATGTATAAATAAGATCTAAATAGTGGTTGGACTGTGGATAATAATAATCAGGACTGAATTAATGAATCTCACAAGAGCTGAGAAAACTTTTTACAACACTAAGGTTTTTGGAAGCATACATTAAAAACAAGACTTTAACAACATCAGTTAACCACCCTGCATTGAATCAGCCTGTCATGTAGCTCAAATTACATCCTTTCCTTGCAAATAAGAAACCTATTTCAGGTATTCAATGCTAACAGTGGGTTAGATGTTATGTCAATAAAGTAACATAATTGACTAAATGTTTCCTAATTATCCTTTCTGATGTTGTTCTGTACCAATTTCAGCCCTTGAGCTCTGCTTCCACCACCTGAGTTATATAATCAGGTCAATAGCAGGACTGTGGGGAAGTTGGCTGCATACTGAGGAGGTAAATCAGCCATTTGATTCAGGTCGCTGGACCTCAGGACCCGAAATTAGGAACTCTGCTTATAGAGCAGCATGTTTAGCCGCCTATAAATATCAGCTTGCAATTATACATATCCAGAAAAAAAATTTAACTTTCAAGATATGATAGTAGTACAAGAATCATAATAATAATCTGAATAATTAGAATTATCTAAGCTTTATGTAACAAGGTTTGTGTCATTAAGATCAATGAGAGAGGGAGACCTTAATGTTAAAGAAAAAGACTTTCACACATCACTTTGAAAAGTCACATACTCATAAAAAATGTTTACAAAAAAAGATAAGACTTGAGATAGTTATACTAAAATAAAATAAATTGTTCTAATTTGATATAATGGGATAGGTCACAGGGTAATACACGTGAGACTCTGAGCTCTGATTCTAGACAACACTGACGAGCAACAATAACTTGTAAAAAGTCCTGAGATCAGAGACTATAGGTCTTATTATTTGAAATAAGAGAAGGATATAAAAGATCGTCCATCATTCTAGGAGCAGCCTTTTAAACCATCAAATACTTATTGCCTTTTTACTTTAGGATAGTAGACACAGTGGTGAGTTACGACTCAGTTTGCGACAAAGCCTCTGCTTGCTGCTACACATGGAGACTTATATCAAAATGCATCATCACCAAATCCTAGCATAAAAAATCTCTTTGACTAAAGGTGGCTTTTTCTACATGGAGCAGAGTTTGAACAGGATGCTATAATCATCATTTCTATTGCTCTATTCTAAGATATACCTGACATTCTCAAGCAAAATGTTTGCCTTTTCTGCTTTATGTTTTATCTTTGGGCTTTCACCTAAAATAATTCAGATTTTCAATCAAACAACAATAATGAACTGGTCTAGTTTGTAAAAGAGTAAAAGTGTCTTCAGTTTCACCGTCTCTCTATTAAACCTGACAGCTGGACCAGGCTTGAAGAGAAGAAACGATACAGGCTAAATATTCTACATTTAACATGGAATCACTTTGGGAGGAAATGCAAGTGCATACAGCAGGTGAAATGATGAATTGAGTTCCCTCATCCCATCATTACAAGCATGAAACCAGTGGATGTCTTAACCAGTGCTGTAATGTCAGGTATTATGGGTAGTTTTCTTAAGAAGGTGAGCTAATGCAGCCTATCACTCATATTTCTGTACTTGTGGGAGTGGTGCTATATTTCTGTTTGCTTTCTGTTGTTGATTATTTGTAAAGTTTCATATTACCATGAGGAATTCAAGGAAACACTTCCTAGGTGGAAACATAGAGGGGCAGGTTCTTTCAGCAATGCACAGAGATTTCCTGGGGGGGGGGAAAGTACCCGGAGATGGTTACATTTTTTTCAGTTTTTTTTATGATGCAATTATAGACACACCTTTGGTGGCGGAAGGAGAGACTAGATGGTTTGGGCTTGACTCATCCATCGCACATATTAAAGTCAGAGAGGTTGCATGGAGGTCATTGACGGAGTCCCTGGACTTGCAGATGACAGTAAAGTGGAGGTTCTGCTTCACGGGAAAGGGGACCGTGGGTTCGCTACAGCTATAGAGGGGATTCACTTCTAAGCTTCCCAAAGAAGGCCTATGACAGGGTGCTAGAGAGGAGAGTCTGGCTGATTGTTAAACCTCTGCTTCAGGAGAAGAGGGGTTTTCTTTCCTGCCATTGAACACTGAGCAAGCTCTATACATTGCGCAGGGTGCTTGAGGGTTCAGGGGACTTTGCCCAACTTGGGCAAATCTGGGGACTTTGAATCCTGACCTCTGGACCTTCTCTCCCTGTCTTCCAAGTTTCTGTTCTCATTTTCTGCTTGATGTCCATCAAACACCGAAACTACTATCACAAAAAGTATATATATATTTTTTTTAAAGAGTGTGTACCAAGCATCCAGTACACTGGTACTTATACAATCCAAAACAACCTACTATATATTGGTAAACTATAGGAGTTGATACAAGTCATTTCTTCATGGTGAAATAATCTGTGAAGAAAAATTTTGGTGCATCTAAACACAGCCAAAAAAATATATTGAGGTCAGATTTTAAAGTAATACAACTGGAATAATTTCCATGTGTATCAATCCGTTTTCGAAGAACTGTATAGATTATTTAATGAACAAATGAGGTGAACAGCAACAGTGTAAAATTCTGTCGCCACCAGCCATTTTATTTCTGTAAATCTACACATCAGAGACTAAACATCGGCATGAATTAGTCTTTTTATTCCTGAAGATACTCAAGAACATTTAAATCTGTTCTGTTTTCCAAGGCATTTTACTTGATTTTTCACCTGTATACAATTTCTTTTTCTACCCAGTAACATGGATATTTGGTAATATTACTTGTTCAAAAACTGTGTTTTAAAGCCACTGATAACTATCAGTGTGGTGGAAAACTGAATTTAGGTTCTCAATCAACTTGTATGGGGTCTTCAGATCCATTACAGAAATTTAAATAAAGTTCTTAAAGACATAAAAGCATCATGTAAAATGAACAAATCCATTTGTTTGATTTTTTATGCTGTTTTTACTTTTATTAAACCCTAACCAATAGTTTGGGTAATGAGTCGACTCTGGTACCATTTTGTGAGTCAGAAGCGGAAAGGTTTCCAAACCTCTGTCCTATACCTAACATATCCAGTTTGGAAGCAATAAGGAATCCCACAGACCTCAGTTTCTTCATACACTTATTCAGGTTTTGGGCAGACAGTGGATATTATAACTTTTTCAGTAAATACCAACTTTATTAAAATGTTCAAAGTTCAACTCTTTAACTGATTGTGTGTCCTGTTTGTTTTTAACATTCCTCGTTAGGAGAGAGCTTCATATTAACGTAGTTTTTCTTTTACTGCTTTAGTCAGAGAAGTAACAGGAAACAACACAGTGCCATGGACAATTCTCCCTATAATTATGTATTTTTTTTTATAATAACTAGGATTTCTTTTTTTTAAATCTAATTGAACATTTACATTGCCCAAAAAAAGTTAGCTTTGCCAAAGATTCCAGCCCAACGCCACATCTGGACTGTCATCTCCTTCTCCAGATGTCCACGCTGCATTCCTATCACCTGCATAATTGGAGCCAGACTCCACTTCAAGATCAGGTTTCTCCTCATTGGAAAACACATGTTCAAGGACACATACACTGAACAGCCATGCAGAAATAGGAACACCCGGGCATCGCTGCATATACAAAGCTTTACATGTAACCTAACTGTATGTAGAATACGGAAGCAGATTTAGCAGATCAGTTGTTCTGACATGTGATTAACCCAGATGGGGCTTAAGAAATGAGGGTCAGAGAGGCTGGAAAACAGGTGGAGGAATCAACAGCGGCAAGCAGCAAGATGGCCAGGATGTGCTGTGTGTGTTTGCACATACCAAGATCAGGAGGTGCCCATTTTCTAAGGCCCCTATATTCTACCACATTGTTGGTAACAAGCTGAATGGCTCTCCTACTGAGAAGACATCATAAATAATGTGGCAACCATCCACTTAACGTTGATTTGACCGTACAGGTGCATCATGAGTGAGAGGGAATTCAAGAAGACGGATGAAACCATTGCAGATGAACGAAAAGAAGGTTTGATGCCATTGACAGACACAAATAAAATAAGACGGAGAGAAGAAAAGAGAAAATAAAGAGGAGGAAACTGACCAGAGTCTGCTTGTACCTCAGAGCCTTCCTGTCCGACGCATCTGTAGCCATTGACACACTGTCACTGACCCAAAAATAAACCCAGCCGCTCACGGGGAGTCTCAGCATTACCAGGAGTGCTCCGGACGTTCCCTCGCACACACACACACACACACACACGCACACACACACATGTTATGCCCCTCTCATCAACATGTACACCAACAAACATGCACACACTGTTACACACTCACATATTGGGACAGCGTGTAAATGATCTCCGGTTGCGGTTACAGTAGCATGGCCCTTGGGTGCAGAATGTCAGCGTTTAAATATTTCCCTGATAATTACAAGAGGACTTTGTTGAACCTCGTCAACTAACTTAGATTGATTTTATCTTTCTGTGAAACTTTAATAGGATGATGCCAAACATATAACTACCAAGTAAAAGTGAAGAAATAATAGAAAATCATTTTTTTTTCTTTGCATTATTATATCATATAATGACCACAGCTGATGGGAAATCAACTGTCTGATGAATCTTTGCTATTAAAGGTAACAGATGGTAGAGTGTGAAGCAAAGTCAAGCACGCTGAAAGTACTTCCTGGAGATAATGCAATTGCTCAGGGAGGCTTAGTCATGGTGCTTTGTTGTTTGTCAGGATTCCTGTGTCTAAACTAGAAAGCATAACATGGTATCGATCATCAGACAACATTCCTAGATGGGTTTGGCTCACAGTTAAATATGCTTCTAATTTTAAGTTCTTCAAATGTGTTTAAATGTGGTTTTATTCCCTTTTGCTTGGAAGCTTTGATTCCCAAATCTAAACTTAGAGTTTTTTTCATACCGAAATGCAAAACAAAGTAATTATTTTCTTTTTATTACTGTTTTACTTGTAGGGAATTGGAAACAAAATTTAAGTGTTATCAAAAACTTTTGTGGAATATTATAATACAATGTCTGCAATGTATTTTTTTACTTAAACCAATAAAGACTCAGATGTAGTAACATGACCTGTTAAAAATAAGGGCATGCGGAAGGTTTTATGCATCTTATTTTGACCAAAAATATATTTTTTTCTGTCAATCTTTTAAGATCCTAGCAGGTTGGTTTAGTAACAGACTTTTTGTGATTCCTAAAATCTATGTCTACCAAACAAAACAAGGTGTGTTTGATTTGTTTTTTTTTGGGGGGGGGGGTTGTATGATCTTGGCTACAGTCATGTGTTGATACAGCGTTATGTGTTGATACAGCGCTATAAGCTGTTGGTTGAAAATCAAGTCAAAAATGTAAAAAAAAAAGGAAAAAAACAATTCCTTTAAAAAGACAAGACTCTTTAAAATGTGTCACCATCATTGAAAGCACTAGATTGGAAAAAACTAAGAAAGTATCACCACAAACAAGCCACATCCACTTCCAAGAACTCAAATTTTCTACCGTGAGATCTTGGCACTTCACATATAATTGACCATAAATCGCAAATTGGCTCATCAACAACTCAGTTATCCCAAACAGGACAGCAAAATACCAACAGAGACCCAGCGACAGTGAGTGAGCAGCAGCTTAGCAGTGAAAATGAACATTTCCATTGCTAAGCAGCTGCTCGTTCAGTCAGAAAGCTGCATGTATGCACTCTATTTAACTGGGAGGAGGAAAACATCCGCCCACAACAATGTTCCACCATTATCTCAGAGTTAAAGGTCGCAGAGCGGCCTCTTGAATCATGGATGCACTCAGTTTATCGCTGAAACTATAGTGCTGGAAACTTGTTTCCACATTACTAACCACTTTTTGAATCAAGCCTTTTCCACGACATCAGGTTTAGCGTGTTTACATTTGTAACCTGACCGGTTTTCTTTACAATTCACTTCAACTGATAAAACTTTTGTTTAGACATAATTGAATGAATATATGCTTCATATAACAGGAACAAATATATTATTTCTATTGGAAAATGATTTATTATGGAATCTGTTTGTATCCTTCATGACTGATTCAACAGAAGGTCAAAGTGGTATTTGTTCAATGGGTGTGTGAGCGACCAACTTGATTTAAACGTGAAAAAACTGGAAGTGACTCAGCAAGTGAGTAAAAAGTCAAATCCATTGTAGTCACACTGGAAAAACGATCTAGAAATAAGTAAAACTGTCTAAAATTAAGTGCATTTACCCTTAATTTTAGTAGGTTGATGAGATGATTTGCCAATGGAATGAGTATTTTTACTCTTAAAATAAGATATTTAAATAAAATGCACTTGAAATAATAAAAATGCAATTGTGCTTCCTTATTTAAATGTAAATTGTCTTGTTCCATTGGCAAAATGTCAATTTAAGAACAAATGCACTTATTTTAAGAAAAAAATGACTTATCTAGATTTTGATTTTTTTTCCAGAGCAAACCTTTAGCTCTAACAAAATGAATACATTTCTGTCTCATACTAAGATTTGAGGCAAAGACTACAAAGATTAATTGACACCCATTACTGCTTATTTATCCATGTGTTTGTACGTTACAGGGAATATAAATATATTTTTTTATGCCCATATGTAATTTAAAAATTTTAAATTAAATGTACTAAAATGATCCGGAATGAACCATCTTATTAGATGTCACAACATTTTTGGAAAGGTTTGGCTCATTAGGCTAGGGAAGCTTATTTTTATGACACATTTCAGGGACAATATCATTCAAAGTGCTGTAATTAAGAGAAAAAGAGGAAAAGTAAATTGCAGTGGTTTAAAGGCAACACAAATGATTGAGAATGGAAGTGATTACTTAAAAATAAGATGAGTGTATGAAAAGAAAAGTATACATTTTCTTTTAAAAGAAAGAAAAAAATGTACTATAAACTTAACAATTTATATTTACATAGCACAGTCGAAGGCTAGTCTAATTAAGTGTGAAAATTCTTTTTTTTAAAAGAAGTGTAAGGTTTAACCTTCTTTACAGCTATCTCAGAGTCTGTTCCAGATCTTTGGAACATAAGAACTAAACACTACTTCTCCATGTTTGCTTCTGGTTCTGTGCAAGCAAAGCAGATTTAAGCCTGAAGACTTGAAAGGTCTGGCTGGTTGATACACCTAAGTACAACCGGCTTGTGATGAATTTTGGAACTAAGTCATTCAGTGATTAATGTGAGCATTTTAAAGCCTATTCTCTGATATATGGGGGGCCAGTGTAACAATTTTAGAATTGGGTTGGTGTGTTCTATTTTTTGAGTTTCAGTGAGGATGCAGGCAGCACCGTTCTGGATCCACTGCAGCTGCCTGAACAACTTTTTAGCAGGAGCTGTGAAGACACTGTTAAGCCGGGCATACACTGTGCGATATTTTCAATCTTTGCACGCAGCTACAGCTCACACTGTATGACGAAACGGCAGGGTTTAGAAGTTCACAGCTCACAATGTATGTTCTCACACTGTGGGACCCGACGCTCTGATGCGATCTACCTGCTCACACTGTACGTCTAAAAAACATGTCGGACTTAGCTCCACAGTGAGATGGCACTAGTCTAGACTCTTCTATCAGAAAGCCAAACAAGTACGGTAGAAGGGGAATATGTAGCTCACTAGAGTGAAACGTGCTGCCTTGGCAATTTGTGCAATTTTGTGCTGAAAACCCTAAAAAGAAAAGGTGACAACATATTTGCAGAAAGACATGGCTGAGCAAATGTGGCACTCACACCCCACCATGCTTTTTTGTTTTTGTCTGAGAGGAAAAAGAAGAATCCTTGTTTGTGCATTCCCACTGAGGGATTTGCCCACGACGGCCGACTGAATTTCAGACATGTTTGATTTACTTCTGACCTCACGATTCCTAATCGGGAGATGGTCGTGAGAGGCTGATCGCCCCTCATTACCCCCTGGACTCTACAAGATGAGATGCATGCTCAGGCTAAAAGTCAGCCCGATCAAAAAATTCTCAGACAATTGGAAAATCAGCTCGAAAAGGGCAAAAAAGTCGTACAGTATATGCCCAGCTTTACAGTTATCAATTCTACAGAAGATGAAAGCATGATTAGATTTTTCAGTGTTCTGCTGAGACATCAATCCTTTAATTCTGGAAATGTTCTTTAGGTGATAGACGACCAATTTATTACTGTATCTATGATCCTCTGAAGATTCAAGTCTGAGCTCATCATTACATCCAGATTTAGAATTTGATTGATGGTTTCTAGTTGGATTAACTGAAGCTGTGAGCAAACTTTTACGGTAATTGTTCTTCCTTTGGTCCAAAAACTCTTACTTCAGCTTTGTTTTTAATCTGCTCAAGGAAATGATGGAACATTCATACATTGCTTTCTGCTATGCATTTACCCAGCTTAGAATGGGTTTGCAGTTACCCAATGACATCGTAATGTACAGCTGTGTGTCGTCTGCATAGTTTTGGTAACTATGGTTGTGTTTATGAAGATAGCAGGCAGGGGGAGAGTGTACATTTTGATTAGGAGGGGTCCTAAAATGGGCCTTTGTGGAACACCACTGGATCTTTGTGGTCTCTGATTTAAAGTTAGCTACTAAAACAAAAAAGTCCATGTCCTTCAAGCAGGTTTTAAACCAGTCCAGTACTGAAAGACAGACCCAGTTTGACCCAGACCCCTGCACTGTAATAAAATGGATTGATCAATGACGCACTAGTACTGTCCAATAATGTAATTGAACATCTCAACAACGGCATACTTTGGTTAAAAATGTCAGAAAAAGACAAAATGTCACAAAGTTTAGAGGAATGGATACTTTTGCAAGGGCAGTCCTGTTTATTTTAATGTTCTAGTAACATTCAGAATAATGTCTCAGTTTAAAACAGCAAAATATAATTGATTGTTTTATGTGTTTATATAAAACATAAGTTTATTATGAGAAAGAACAATGCATCTGATATAACATTAACACTCTACAGACCTCAACTTTTTCATTACCTTAGTGTAGGGGGAAAAACTTTGTTCTATCAAAAGACTGATTTCACTTCCTCAACCCTTAAAGCTGTACATTGTTCCACTGCCACACATACAATAAACGACAGGCGCATGCAGCAAACAACACAGACAGATGACATACTGCATGCAGGTGGTAAGGGTGACAATGAAGAGGGCGGGTTGTGGGTGTGGAAAACCCAAGAACTAAGCAGAAGTTGAACGACGAGTGGGAGAAGAGTACAATGCAGGTTGCAACACAACAGAAACTTTACTTTCAAAAGTACCTCTGACAGAAAAGTATCTGCCTATGGATGTACCTGCTGAAAACCATGAAGACTGAGAGTACAAACAGGAGTATATTGTACAGCTCTGAGCATATATGGAAAACTGAGCAGGAAGCTAGATTGTTGCAGTTCCTGCAACAATGACAGTTTGACGGCTGAGGAGTCCGACATAGACTGTCAGGTAAGATGTAAATACTGAGGCTTTGAGAAGGAAAAACATTACTTTTTTTTATATAACACAGTTTATATCACAGTTTGTCTGGATAAGACTCTAACCCTCACATTAAAACTAAAGTATTTTCTATCCCTGTGTGCTCTCTGTCATGTTCAGGGTGACTTGATCTTAACCAACAAATTTGCAACAACATTTCCATACATTAGTCAATGTTTTTACAATAATACATTATTCCAAAGTTGTGCTGCTCTCACAGTGAGATTGCACTTTTTAACCATTTGTGTTTATACAGTAAGAGCTGATCCGAGTCAGTGCAGGACATGACTGTCAGCAAATAATGCGGTCAAACTGGTTAAGTAAGATACATCTATGTCAAAAGGCAAACAACATGTCTGTGTGACTTTCAGTGTTTAGCTTTTCGACAAAAGCCTTTTTTCACATGCTATGTTTCACTGTTTATGGAGCAGTGTTTACATTTTCAGCAGTAGGTTTGGAGGTTATAAGCAATTAGGGAGCAGGATGATCCATCCATATTATCAGATATGTATCTGGTCTATGTGCGGATGCCTCCATACTATTGAATCACTGTATTAACATCTGTTCATGTTACATATTTATAGATAAGCTTTCATCAAGTTAATTCCCATTCAAATGTATCTGATAGGAGAGAAATAATATAACT